AGACCGCGGTGGGCCTCGAACCCACGATCTGACGAATCAAAATCTCGAGCGATACCACTCGACCACGGCGGCTACACACATACCCGCCCAGATTGCTACTTACTAAATAAGAGGAGAAAAGCCATTATTTTTATAGAGAAAATTAATTACTTAACGAGAACTCTGAGAATTCTGCCGATTGTTACCGAGAATTTAATGATGATTGAAATTTTCCTGAAATGAAAATGTGGCTTTAAATGCTTCAAGTCATTTCGGAATAATTACTATGTATTGCACAAGGAGTAAGTAAATCCCTAAACAACAACAACAACAACATGAACAGCATCAACAAGGAGACGAAGTGGGAGCAAAAAATTGTAGTAGTAGTAGTAGTAGTAGTAGTAGTAGTAGTAGTAGTAGTAGTAGTAGTAGTAGTAGTAGTAGTAGTAGTAGTAGTAGTAGTAGTTGTAGTAGTAGTAGTAGTAGTAGTAGTAGTAGTAGTAGTAGTAGCAGTAACTGACGTTCACTTTGTTTCAAATTCAACTTATTCGGGCTATGAAATGAGTTTCCTTTGTTTGTTTAAGCAATAGTGGCTGAAAATGCAATTAAAGATATGGAAAGCTCACTTCCCATTTTGGACAAAAGCATGCATTAGTTATAATGATAGCCAAAGCAGTATTATAAGCAACTGTAGTAGTAGTAGTAGTAGTAGTAGTAGTAGTAGTAGTAGTAGTAGTAGTAGTAGTAGTAGTAGTAGTAGTAGTAGTAGTAGTATATAACTCGGCTTCTTTTGTGAGTGTAACAATTAAGGAATTAAGGTACTGATGGAACCTGCTGGGTTGAGAGGTACAAGCAGAAAAAGCTTTGTTCAACAGTTCATGTAGTAGATTGGCATATGCAATCAGCCGCCCGTTGCAATGCTACATATGAAGGTCTTTTGGACTTTAATAGGACTTTCCAGGACAGCTCGATGTTAAGTTTTCCTGTAGTTACGGCTCTTTTTCTATGCCTACATAAGTACCGAATCGTCTTTCATATTCGTTACACATTTATTTTCCGTTCACATCTGACAAGTCACAACACTCCTCATCTGTTTATTTTTGCTCTAAATTTTCTTCGTGCCCTAGCCCGATGAGGGAAATTTTCTTTGCATGTTCTGGAGTCACACATAAAAAAAAATGCTAAAGCAATGGCAATAAACATTAAGAGGATGTTGTCAGATCTGAAAATAACTGAAGGTGAACGCTAACATGAGTTCATATTCAGTCCATGGCCGGGATTCGAACCCACGACACATAATCCGCATTCATAGGTGCTAGCCACTATACCACCGAAGGCATAGGAAAAAAGAAACCCCTCAGCTATCGGCCGGAGCTAGGGAATGAACGCATTCTACTGACTGCCTATGTTCATTTTACACATTCTTCCCAACTCACTTACAGTTAACCGAGGGGTTTGATTCTTCTCTTTATACTTTTCCTAAAAAAAAACTCCTTCCCCAGCTGAAGTCATCTGGTCTTTGACTTTATCCAGCTTGGCTTGTTTCTTGGCTTTAATAATAATAATAATAATAATAATAATAATAATAATAATAATAATAATAATAATAATAATAATAATAATAATAATAATAATAATAATAATAATGATAATAATAATAATAATAATAATAATAATAATAATAATAATAATAATAATAATAATAATAATAATAATAATAATAATAATAATAATAATAATAATAATAATAATAATATCCAAAGCTGCCGCATAGCTGTAGTGTGCATCACTTCATAAGCCATACAAAAAACAAAAAAAAATTCTTTTTTTGTAATCATCCCTGTAATTCGTGGACATAAAATCAAAGTCACAAACATACCAAATAAAAACAAAGAAAATGGCCTTTTTTTCTTGTTTGTTTGTTTCTTTAGGATAAAAAAAAAACACGAGACATGTGTTTTTGGTAATCGCAGAGCTGAAAATCAGAAGGAAATTAAAAAAAAAAAAAAACGATGCTATCAAAGGCTCTGATGACGAGGATAAAATATAACTGAACAAAAAAAATAACATATTAAAATTATAAAAAAAAAGCCATATACAAGCGAAGAGAGAAAAAAAAGAAAAAAAAAGTTTATGAAAATATTAAAAAATAGTGAGTAAAACGAATAGGACTGACTCACCAAAAGGAAAAAAAAAATCATAATTTTCTGCGGCTCCATTTTTGGTCCGAGACCAAAAATATTACGTAAGCCAATTACGGCAGGTGAAGGCAGTGAAGTGGGGGAGACAGGGAGGGGAGAGGAGAGGGGGGGGGTAGAGCCCAGTAAATATATTGCATATAAAAATAACTTATGAAGCATAACAAATTTGTAAAAGTTTTGGAAAGCCAGAAGTTAATTCGAAAGAAAATACTCTCTCTCTCCTCAAATCTCATGGAAATGGGAACCAACAGTTATTTTGTAATTTTCAAGGTGTGTGTGTGTGTGTAATTTTCAAGGTGAGTGTGTGTGTTCCTATACAT